ATTCTCCTCTCGGGATCTTGGGCATGCACGCACACACACCCTGCGTGAGTTTAAGCCACCGGGTCTGGGACGCAAACTGTGGTCGACTACGTGGGATTCCAGCGACATAGCCATTGCACTAACTGCTGGTCCCCATACAGATCTATTATTGAGAAAAGAAAACAATTTTTGTCTAAATCAGAGGTTAAGATAATTTCCAGGAGTAAATTTATGAAAAACAGAAACGATAGAAAATGGAGCAGGAGGGAGACGGGGAAGAGGTGAGGCGCAGACTCGATAAGAAGGGCACAGTCAGAGAGTCTGAAGCACCTTGCAGGAGGTTTGGAAAGGGTCTGAGAGGGAATTATAAAGGGTTATGAAGGTAATTTTTTCTTTTTTCTTTTTGGAGAGGTTTTTGCTATAGGGTGCGTGCGTGTGCCAGAAAGACAGACAGAAAGAAAGAAATCACCCCCAGGGGGATGGCCACGCCGCAATCCCTTCTCCTCCATTTTCCTCTTGGGATTCTAGGCACGCACGCACACGCGCCAGGCGTAAGTTTAAGCTACTGGGTCTGGGACTCAAACCGTGGTTGACCAGCAATGTAGCCATTATGCCATCTGCTGGTCCCATGAAGGCAATGTTTTAAAAAAAAGAATGACTTTATTTAACTTCATTTATTTATCCTAATTTGACCAGAGAGGGATAGAGTGAGAGAGAGGGGAAAAATGAGAAAGCAAGACACCAGATCTGGGACTCAAACCGCAGTTGGCCATGTGGGAGTTCAGTGCCCTTACCCACTATGCCACCTGGTGGCCCCAGTCATTTTCATTTTTGTTTCAGATTTTTTGCCTCAGGATGCAGGAGACAGAGGGAGACAGACCACTGCCTAGGGGGTCACCTCCGTTCTCTCAGGATTGGGGTATGCATGCATGCTCCCAGTGTGTTTTCATGTCGCTGGGTCTGGGACTCAAACTGGCCTTGTGGGATCCAGTGTCTCAACCACCATGCCACTTACTGTCCTAAATGAAGTATCTTTGATTTATGCTTATCTGATATGTCAATTTACATGGGAAGTATTGTCAATTAATACAATAATGCTAAGTCTCCTTTAAGGTTATACTGAAATAAATGCTATTGCTATATATGCTAAGATGATGTAACTTTTTTTTTTTTTTTTTGCTATGGGGCATGTGTGCTCCCAGAGAGGTCATCTGGGGACATGGCCTTACGATAATCCCTTCTCCTCCATTTTCCTCTTGGGGTTTCGGGCATGCATGCACACGTGCCCAGTGTGATTTTCAAGCCACCAGATGTGGGACTTGAACTGCGCAGTTGGCCATGAAGGCTCCAGCTGTCTTACCCTCCACACCATCTGCTGGAGGTGTAAGATTTTCAGTCCTGGTGTGTTGTGATGCTATCAGTCATATCCCGATTATCTTAGGCGCTGTGTGCCAGAGAAACGCCTACAGTTACACCGTTAGAATGAACTAGTGCCAAGTTATTTTAAAGAATTATTTAAATTTATTGACTTATTTTAATTTGACCAGAGAGGGACAGAGAGCGTGAGAGAGAGAGCGAGAAAGCAAGCTTCCAGGTCTGGGAATCGAACTGGGATTGGCCATGTGGGAGTCCAGCACCCTTAACCACCATGCCACCAGTCAGCTCCAGCACCAAGTTATTGTAAGTTTTGTTATCTGTAGTTTCAAACTTGATTCCATGGAAAAGATTCTAACAAGCACTTGTGGGTTTTTCGTGGAGAGATTTTTGCTTTATGGTGCATGTACTCGCTGAGAAATCACCCCCCGGGGAAACGGCCATGCTGCAATCCCTTCTCCTCCATTCTACTCTTGGGATCCTGGGCACGCACGCACACATGCACACGTGCCCAGGGTGCTTTACCAAGCCGCCAGGTGTGGGACTCAAACCGCAGCCAACCACGTTCAGCCCAGTGCCTTAGCCGCTGCACCACCCGCTGGCCCCACGGTGCTCTAAATGCAGGTTTCTGACAAGCTTAAGCTCGATGAACTTCAGGGAGCGGAGAGCCAGTCCCTCCGAGCCGCCTGTGTCGCTCAAACGTGTCCCGAAAGTGTCCTGACCCTGACTCCTAGAGGTCAGCCACTTCCCTCTGGGGTGGGGTGACCAGGCCAAGTCGGTCCTGCCACTGGGGGATGACAGACGCGTGACCAGCGGCGCTCACAGGGAGATCTTGATCACGGAGGGCAATGCGAAGCTCTGAGTCCAGTCGTTTGAGTCCGCCCTGACTAAAGCGAGCAGGAGGCCCCGAGGAGGTGCGTTCTCGCCAGCAGCCTGAGGACAAGGGCTGTTACTTAGAGCGCTCGGCCTGCACACCTTGGAAAGACGCTGGGACCTAAGGCCGCCTCAGCTGTTCCTGGCTGCGCTGCTAAGTGTTGAAAGTCCCGGGTGTAACCGACCGAGGGCCGTCCAGGCCGGGGATTCATCACACCAGAGAAACCACGCCCACAGGGGCAGACGCCACCGAGGCCCTCGGCGGTCACCGATGCTGCAGCCCTGGGCTGGCGTGGGAGGGTAGTGTCTGTGTGGACAGCATGTCGGCGCTCTGCTGAGGCCGAGCCCTGTGCCGGCACCGAACCCTCCACCTAACCCAGAGGGACTTGGCGGGGCATACCCGAGGGGTGGCTCTGCCCGGCTGTGCTGTTGCCTCCGTGGGCAGCTGCAGCCCCACGTGTGTTAGAAATGAATGAAGACCCTGCTGGCCGCGGCCGACGAGACTGCCAATGCGGTCGTGTGCAGCTGTCTGCAGGGGCTGGCGTCTGAGGGCACTCTAGCCGAGCGAGGTGGCCGTCTGCCGGGTCATACTGCTCTTCCTAAGTACATTCCAGAAAGTTGGACGACAGGAGACTCGGCTTCACACCACTCTGGAGTGACGTACCCATCCATAGCTTAAGAAGGCCAAGGCTTGTTTTCTTAAAGGGCTTCCCTGGCTCTCACATTGATCAACGACTACACTTGGAGGTCCAGGAAAACCGTCAATTACTGATTGGTTGGTGTGACCAAGGGACGTGCAAGCTGTACTCTGAGTAAACCCAAGCCCATGACACGGTTGTTCCATGAAGGCCGGAGGTGACAGGAGAGCCTTTCAGCTTTCAGAACGACACGCTGAGGAGAGACCGTGGGAGGTCTGACAGTGGGTATTGAAGAGGCCCGCCTGAGGCTGAGCGGGACAGCAGCTATGGTAAACCTGGGAGGCTTCTAGTGAGCACAGCGGACCGAGCGCTGCGTCCTGGGGAGGCCTGTCTGAGTGGTCGGGCGTGAACCAGGAGTCTGTCGGCGGCCTTCCCGAGCCATCACCCTGCCCGGTGAGGGGTGGCGTGCACCTGCTCGTATCTCGTGCCTGTGGATACAGAGCGGGAGCTGAGCTTCTGGGGCCCGTGAGGTTGTGCTCGCCTCCTGTCTGCCTGTAACTGGCTGTGGGTATAAACTCCTCCAGCCTCGGCCCTCGTCACTGAGCACGAGAGGCAGCGGCTGGTCTTAGTTTGCTGGTGATGTTTCTGCGTGGTCCACTCGGTCGGCCCATAAAGGAGCAGTCAGACACCACGAGAGCCCTAATGTCACTGCTACGAAAACACTAAATGACACAAGCACTATTCTCCTAAGACGGGACACTTCCTGTTAGCATGAGCAAACTAAAATCAATTTTTTTTTTCTAGAGGATACCTGTGCTCACTAGAGGCAGGGGCGAAAGCACCCCGTGGGCCACGGCCATGCGGCAGTCCCTTCTCCATCTCTCCCGAGGGGATGCGGGCACGGGCAGACACACATGCCTGCAGATTTCTCAAGCTGCTGAGTCCAGGACTTGAAGCACAGTTCGGCATGTGGGTTCCTGTTGCTTTAACCACCAGGACATGGAGTCGGCCCCCAAAACCTTTATTTAAAAAAGTCTTTTCATTTATTTCTTCCATCGGCGAGAGAGGTGGGCACCCCTTGACTCGCGGACCTCATCTGCCCCCCAGCTTTCCCCAGCCCTGGGCCTGCCTGCATGCCCTCCAGACTCAGGGAGGCCTCTGGACTTGAACCTGGAACCTTTGCATATGGACCAGCTATATAGAATGCTGTGCTTTACCACTGTGCCACCACTGGGCCCCTGTGAGCAGCCTTTAAGATATGAGACCCAAAGCCGAGCGCACAGCACACTCTCACCGTGCCGGGCCACGTACACCGGGAGAAACGTGGGGGGAGACCAGCCCAGACCAGACGGCACTTGCCTCCGGGGAGGGGCACGTGGCGCTCCCCCCACGGTGTATTTCCGCTGTGTTTTAGAGCCCATGTGCCTTACTCCCGTAGACAGAAGGAGGAGGCGTTATTTATTTATTTTTTTTATTCTGAAAAGTTTCAAAGTGAAACAATGTTTAGAATATTTTCCCTTTAAACTGCAGAGAAGCCACAATGTAATTGGTATTCAGAAACGCAGAGGTGAGGAAGCAAGGGCGCCCTACTCGGGAAGGGGCGGGGCAGACGTGGGGTGCGGTGGCTTGGAGCACGCCCTGCCCACAGCCCTGTACAGCCTGTGCTCCACTCTCCCGAACTGCGGGGGCCTCCACTCTCTCAAGACCGGGCAGAAGCAGGTGCTCGGGTCTCCTGGGGGCGGGGAGAAGGGGGCTCCTGGGGGGGAAGGAGCCCCAGGCCAGGCTGGCCTCAGGCCGCTGTTCCCCGTTTCTCCCACCGGAGCCTGGACC